GTTACCCATGCTCCTGTAGATGGCCTGGCACCATGCAGAAAGCAGCTTCAAGTGGATAGTGTGGGCTTAAAAATGGAACAGATCCTCAAACGACATCAAGAGTAAAAAACAAATCAGTTTATCTGGTCCAATGGTATGTCCTTAAACACCCAAAAGGGAAGTATAACCAAAGATTAAAGGGGCCAATATAGTTTCATAAGAGCACATACATAGATATCACTAAAAGTTACTTGACAAACAGCAAAGCCAGACAGGCGACACCTTCATTCGAGATGTTGGCCAGGATAGATAAAGGCTCTTCCAGACAGTAACCCAACATACTACTGGAAAAATGAACAGCAGACCCCAATTCTATCCAAAGGAATACTGACAATGGATTGCCATAGATGAGGCACAGCTGATCCTCCTGGAACAGGGACCTCTGGCTGACTAGATTTACCAGAAGGGCAATGGATGGGGGTGCTGACAGCACAGTGGACAGTGGCAGGGATAGTAGAGTATGGAGGCTCTAGTGGGAGAGGAAGGCTGTCTACCTGACGAGTTTGTATCCATGCTCAGATGCCGAGGAGCTCAGAAGGTGGGCGACTGTGACCAGTGATAGTCACGTATATAGAGATTAGAAATGCAGGTGATAACATCTCAATGTCAATTGCCTTGGAATGAATTTTTCTGTATGAAACTGTGTGTTTTGACAATGCAGTGGAGATCTTTTTTAAACGTTGGAACCTCATTTAATTTTATGTCTCATAGAGTTTATAATGAGTAAAAGATTATATAAGCGTAATAATTCATCTGTAAACCTAGAAATGTACAGCCAATTTTGAAAGAGATGTACCCTAGCTCAGAAAAATGGTATTGAATAGGTTAAGGCTGTTGTGATGAAAAGCTTCTTTTAATTAAAAAAATAAATAAAAAAAAGTTCAAGGAACTTTGGTATTTTCAATGTGTTTGCTAAAATATGGACTGATGTTTATATTATTTGTTAATCTGCATTCTGTCATATGGCCATTTCTAAGTCATCAATGTACTGGGACTGTCCCAGCTAAAATAGGTGTTTGGGCCCATGAAGGATTTATGTTGAGACATTGCTCCAAATTTATTGAGAGTTGCTTAGGTTCCAGATGCTTCAGCATTAGGGTGCATAACTGATTCAAAGTGTTGCTATTACTCTTGAATTAATGTACACACATTTTCTGCATCACTCTCTTATATTTATTTAATGGTTATAAGAACTGACCTATGAGTTCACCCCCTTTTTTCTTTGTCCTGGTGGAAAAAAAACAGTGACTTTACCATTCTATGACCCAGTCAGAGATGTTTTTCTATGAAAGTTTGAATCCAAATTGGAGTCTTCATTGTTGACCTATTATCTAAAAGTATGCCATCAATTTAAAAATAATTATTTTTCTTATGTGTATGCATATGAGCCTGCTTGTTTGTGCATCACATATGTGCAGTGCCAGTGGAGTCCAGAAGAGGACATCAGGTTCCCTAAAACTAGTATTAAAAGTAGTTGTGTCACCCTGTGTGGGTGCTGGGAACTGAACTTGGGTCCTCTGCAAGATCAGCAAGTACTCCCAACCACTGAGCCATCTTTCCAGCTCCAAGTATATAATTTTTGCTATTCCCATTACAGGATATGTATTTCCTTAAACCTTATAACTTAGAACTACTACTGAGTGTACACATCTCACTCCCAATTTGATCTATGTCCTGGTCCTCAGATGTTCTCAAACATAGACATCTCCACTATCTCTGAAATATAAATAGATGCTGTGGATAAAGGCTTCTGTTTCCATTGCCACCTACCAAAGAGCTCTCTTTGTAAATTTTCTACAAATGAATCTATGCTATCAATCAAATGAGTCAACTCTGCTCTTTATTTGGGTGCCCTTAGCCTTAGCCTGAACTATTTGGGTGCCCTTAGCCCTTAGCCTGAACTATGAAAAATGGCAAAGAAATGTATTTTAAACTGCAAACTTCCCTTAACAAAGCAAGAAACCCGAGTGTTTCTTGTGCTTGGTGTTCTTTCATGGCCAGGGGAGCTGGAAAACAAAAGATGAGATGCCAAGAACCTTGAACAAAGATGATCCCATTAGTTTAAATAAAATGCTGACATTTCTACAGGAATCACTGGCTCACAGTGTGATGGCCAAGAATTGCTCCCTATTTAGAAGAAATCTGGAAGTCATTTCTATAAGTGCTTCTTCCCTTCCCTTCTCTTCCCTTCCCTTCCCTTCCCTTCCCTTCCCTTCTCTTCCCTTCCCTTCCCTTGCCTTCCCTTCCCTTCCCTTCCCTTCCCTTCCCCTCCCTTCCCCTCCCTTTCCTCTTTCCTTCTTTCCCATTTTTATCCATGCTGGGATAAAACAGTTAATGTTAAGGGGAAGTTATCGAATTAGGCCAGAGAACAAAGACACTAAATTATTAGCTTTTAAATTCAAAAGTCTTGATCAAGAAATACAGAAGAGAGTTACAGGAGGATTTGAGGTAGAAGTTTCTGCATAGCTCCACAGTATAAAATGTTTGCATGTTGCCTGACCCATAAAGAAAAAACAGCTTGTTACTGAATGTTCTGTGTTGTGCATTGAGAGACCCCTGACAGATACTGTTCTAGGTCCATCTCTGCCTTTTGTGATTCCACAGCTCCAAATTTTAAGACATATGTGCCAAATTACCCTTCATAAATAAGTCACATTAATGCATCCTCCCTCAGCTATCTCCTGACTAGGCTTAAAAAGGAAGTGATAGTCTTTTACTCCCGTCAGAGTGTTGGCTTTAGAAAAGAAACAAAGATATTTGTGTGAGCAGGAAATAAGCATTGATTAGAACAAGACATCCTCCCGTTAGTCACATATCCACACTGCCTTCTTCAATGCCTGTCCTCTTCCGTCCTGTTAATGACTTTCTGATAAACTCCTCACTGTGAAACAATGCCCTATGACCACAGATGATGATAGGACTAAATAGGCCAATGAAACTCAGCTGACTCTCCTGAGTGTGATGTGTTCTCAGGGGTGATCACCCCTGGACGGATCAAGAGCAAATACAGGAATTTTCTTTTTTTATCCCCAATCATTCAATTCTATATGAAGACGAAGATATTACAGATAATTGATCTTTAGTCTTTGTCTATGTTTTAAGGTCCAAAATCTCTATGTGTACAATTACATGAATACATTTAGGCATTATACCAGAGAGCTGGGTAAAAAACTGCTGGTAATTTCCTTCAGTATCAGCTCCATCAATGGATTTGAGTGTTTTCCTATGTCTGGGCCAGACTAATCTGTAAAACAGATTTCTAGCTCTGAGAAATCATTAGCGTCTTTTCTCCAACTCTAGGTAAATTCCAGTGGATAAGATTATATTTGACACTATTTTGTTCATAAACTCTCTTCCTATTTTTTCATGATATTTCAATTTAAGTTTGGCCCTGGAGTCCAGGACTTTGATGGGGTGGTGGAATAATTGCCTTCACCTAAGTCAACAGAGGAAGATTAATGAAATGTTATCAAGCAAATCCTGGTAGTAGGCATAGATGTGGCGAAATAAATTTGGGCCTAGTCAAGAGTACGCATTAAGCTTTGGAATGCTGGACGTCATGCCATAAGTCTTTAATCCCAGCACTTGGTAGGCAGAGGCAGGAGGATCTTTGTGAGATCAAGACCAGCCTGGTCTATACAGTAAGTTCCAGACTTAAAATTAAAAAAAGGGTATGCATTAAACTTTGGGAAAGAATGTGCTATTCTAAGTTTTGGACTTTTAAAAAAATGATGTGAGGTTTGTATTCTAGCTCTGGCTTAGAGATTGGCTTTCTTAAATTATATTTTCAAAAATACTAAAGTGATTTCTTTTAAACTTAAGATCACCCACTTTAGCCTTTTAAGGTATTGTTATGGCTTATAAACTTGAAGATAAATAACTTAAATTTTGAAACATTTTAGAACAAAAATGGACAAAACAATGATTCCGAAGCATCAGGGTTGGGAGTCATTGCATTTAAAAATGTGTTACCACAAATTTTACGTAAGTTTTTGTATTGAAGTCATTCTTTGTGGAGCTTTTGTGACTGATAAGCAATACTACAAATATAACAAGAACAAGAACAACAACAACATTAAGACATAGAAGACTTCTCCAAAGAGACCTGGAGTAATTTCAGGGTTGATATCGAACACAGGGTCTCCGTTCATTCTCTTCCCCTTTAGCCCTTCTCTTCCCCAGCCCCCTCCACGTCAATCCCACTGTTGCCTTCTTCCTCTGCCATTTCATTACTTTAGTGGTGCTGTGATTCCTCATACACGTCATCGTAGAGCCTCTGAAGTGGAGTCCCATACTGTCCCTTCCTATCTCTTCCTTGTTCCTGGATTAGCTCCATTAGGAGATGTAGTATGTTTCATGCCTACTTTGTCTACTTAAAAGGAGGAATAACTTGGTTGTAAAGACTTTAACTATTATGGGTAACATAATCTCATTCCAAGTTTCTACTAGACAAAAACTTCTCATATTTATGTTGCCCCCATCTTCAATACATAACCTTTTCTGGAGCAAACCAAGAGAACTGGAATGCAGGAAATGTCTGAAAGTTTTCAACAAAATTTGTTAAACATCTTAAGGTGTTAGACTAGAAGTCTACCTTTCAAAAATTATGCTTTATTACATTCCTAATAAAGAAACTAGAAATACCACAAATGAAACAATTAGAAATGATCTTATTTCTTGTTGTCTGTGTGCTTACTATACTTAATTTTATGAAAGTAAATAGGTAAGAAAAGCGAATTATAATACACAAATTTATGACCTGACTTTCTTCTATGCTTTAAAATATTAGGTCTACACTGCATTAAACAGTTCATGATCAAACAAAATAGACTTTAGTGTTGTTTTCAGGCTCTTATCCCCACATATTAGGTAGGATCCAGAAATGTCATGAGGTTCCTTCCACAGGAAGCACCTCTTCCTATCATCACTAAATATGTATATGCTTCATAGATAAATAACAGTCACCTCGGTTGAGTTCCTGCTTTAATAATGTGGAGAAGTCTCTCCCGGATCTGCTTGGTGCGGACAGCATAGACAACTGGGTTGAGGATGGGTGGGATGAGGAGGTAAAAGTTGGCCAAAAGAATATGGATATGGGGAGGCACATGATGGCCAAAGCGATGGGTGAGAGATGAAACGGCAATCGGGATATAGAAGACAAGGATGGCACAGATGTGAGAACCACACGCGCCTAAGGTTTTAAACCTGGCATCAGGGGTAGACAATCCCAATACAGCCCTGAAAATCATCACATAGGATGCACTTATGGCTAGTGAGTCCAGGATCAACACCAGGAAGCCAATTCCCATTCCGTATAAGTTATTGATCCTTGTGTCACCACATGCCAAAGTGACCACAGCCATGTGCTCGCAGTAGGAATGGGCAATTATTTGGGTCCGGTAAAGAGGCAGCCTCAAACGAATTAGAAGAGGAAGAGGCCCAATGTAGATTATTCCTCGGAGGAGTGCAGCCAGCCCCAAACGTCCCACCACTGCATGGGTGAGCACTGACATATGGTGTAGTGGGTCACAGATGGCCACATAGCGGTCAAAAGCCATAGCAAGAAAGATGCCTGACTCAACAGTTGCGAAGCAGTGGACAAAGAACATCTGAGTTAAGCAGGCATCTAGACCAATGTCACAGGAACCAAACCAGAAGATGGACAACAATTTGGGCATGGTAGAGCTTGACAGAACCAAGTCAATGACAGCCAACATGCACAAGAAGAAGTACATGGGCTGGTGCAGGCTGTGCTCCATCTTAACCATGGCCAGGATGGTGACATTCCCCACCACAGCCACCAAGTACATGGAGCCAAAGGGGATAGAAAGCCAGATGTGCAGAGACTCCAGTCCTGGGATTCCTGTGAGCCAGAAAGAGGTGGACACAGAGCAGGCATTGTTAGGTGTGAACATGCTTGGGAGTGTGGGATACGCAGAAGAGCTCTTAATGTTAGGTTTCTGGTCCCGTGAGAGGTAATGCCTCTGATGGCTCTAGAATAGATCCTCGCTTCCATTCTTGAAAGTTCATGACACCTACAACAAAGAAGAATTCTGAATGCCAACTTTAGGGAGCATTACATTACTTAATTTATAAGAATCAGCTATGAGTCAGGTGTGGTGGTGCAGGCACTTGGGAGGCAAAGGCAGCTGGATCCCTTGGAGATCGACTCCAGACTGGTTTACATAGTGAGCTCCAGGCCAGATGAGGCTGTAGGGAGATGCTGTCTCAACCCCCATAGCCTCTCACTAAAAGAATAATCCATGATGATGCCCATTGATAAACACAGAAACAGGCACGCTCAGGATTTTCACCACTAAACTTTCAAATTGTGGTGTGGAAATTCCCAATATTATGTATACTTTTGACCTAGAAAGCTTATTTTGGGGGAAATTTCCTAAAGAAAAGGAAATTATGAAAGATACTTCCAGATGATGTTAATTGTAAACCAAAATAATCTATTTATCTCACTATTTGTGTTTGCAGTTATCACTGATCAATAACATTAATATTAATACTATACACTAATTAGCTGTCCCAAATTTTTATTCTTATAAAAAGTTGGAGCCATGTGTTAAAAATAAAACATGGCTTAAGTTCTAGTTTATGCATTTAATGAGCTAGAATTATATTGATAATGCTCTCTCTCTCTCTATATATATATATATAATTTCCTGGCATAATGTTTAGATCTTGCTATAATAAGTGAGG